GAATGTGAAGCACAAATTTTCGTATGATGTTGCTTGATTCTAACGAAATTCAATAAGAAAATATGATTGATTGATTACTTATTCAGTTTTAGATTAAAACCTATTCTTTCTATATAGAATAAAAATGCACAAAAACCCTATCTAACTAATATGTTAAGAAGAATTCAAACTGAACTAAGGAATATTATTAATGTTTCTACCTATACACCTATCTACTTGCGTAATGACCAACACTAGTCATATTTTTTAATTCAATTTTAATTCTTCGAATCTCTTTCAAGTGAAAAATCATGATTAAAGACTTCAAACATTTATCAATTGATTCCATTCATCTTTTGCATGCATTATTGACATCATTTATAAACTAGCTTAATTAATCGATTAATGCTTGATGTTATTTGTATTATACTTCTTCCTTATCAATAGATGTACTCATAATAGTTTAATAGAAAAAAAATTCTAATAAATTGATCTATTAGAAATTATTGTACTCAGATATAGTATTAAAACTATTTCGAATCAATGAAGAGATGCGAATTACCATAAAATTTCAACTATATCCATCGATATCTAATTCAAAAGTACTTAAGAAACATGATATATTGTCTAATCAAATACATCACAAATATTCAATGATTTAACATATTCACGTGTTAAAAATAATTGTAATTTAAAAATGAACTATAGAATGATTTCATTAGTTGTCGTTCGATTTTTTGATCAGGTAAAATATAATTGAAGGAAGTAAACATTATTTTGCTTATATATTAGATAAATCGTATGAAAATGTCAGAATAATTTTAAAACAATGTTCTTTATATGAATGCATTACTAACATTTGAATTGTTATTTAACAATTAAAAAGACATGCATTGTTTTTATTCATTTATTAATTTATAATATAAATCACGTATTAATAACAGAAGACAAAGTCAATAATATTTAACTACATTCAAGAACGTTCAATAAAGTTACCACCAAAAAAGTCATGTATGATTGTATTAGATTCATCAGGACGACCACGAGGATCATAATTGAAAACAGCATTGGTACAGGCATGACGACTGAAACCTACGTCGGTCTCAGAAAGAGAAATATACCTTGGCGAATAGCAATTGGACCGCGATACAATCAAGAACCATGACTAAAGTGTGGACGGATGTGAGAATCGAGACTGATACGTTTACACACAACAAGAACCACAATACCAAGTTGCATCAAAAGTATGGCTGTGATTGAAACCTAAACCAAAACCATGGCCAAGACCGCCCTAATTCGATGCCATGATCGGAACTAAAACACCAGTGAGATGCAAGAACCAGATTTAGAAAGACATCAATAGCAGGGTCTCGATTGAAACTGGCATTGATCGAAGCACGCTGATCAAAACTTGGATTGGCACGAGGATCAGCATTGAATCTGGGTTTGGTGTTGAGATCGAAACTAGAACGTCAATGAGTGGTAGGTCTACCATTGGAGCTTGGATCAATACGACCACCTTAACAGAAACTGAGATAAGTCTTTAGACCAAGACTAAAGCTTGGAAGATAGGAAGACTATGAGTGTAACTACGGTAAGTATTTGGAAGTTCTCGGAGTTTGCAACGGGTACGGACTCTATACAAATCAATTGGGCGTTCAGAATGTGTGCTGCTCCTCAACCCAAGGTGAGTGAGAAATCAAGGTGAAGAGATAGATGAAAGCCGGTACTGGTAAAAGGAAGACGTTCGAGTTCGATACTGAAAACGGGTTTGTTTAGCAACCAGAATGGAAATCGAACAGAACGTGTAATGGTAGTGGCTCTTAATTGTGAAGGGAAGATGTACCCCGCATTGTTACTTGGAAAGGAACCAGAACTCGAATCGATATTTGCGAAGAATTTTGGACTGAGCTAGAAAAGGACTACCATCAGTTACTCGTTAAACGTATACTTATTGGTTTTGTGTAACATGATCATACTATCAAGCGGCAAAATATTACTAATGAGGTTTCGATAGTTTGTCCCTGGTACGCGATGATGGTTTAAAAATATGTACCCATGATGTTGCTCACTGTCATGCATTTTGGATTGTGTGTGAATGATTTATGCATAAGCTATTAGAGCAGCGTGCGAGAGGAGAAGCGAAACAATGAGAATATTGGCAATGAGAAAGCCAGATATGTTTTAATAATGTCCTTGTCAGTTATTTTGCAATACGGATGAATGCATCAAAGCCTAATGTAGTTGGCAACCTATATATAAGCAAAATAATGATATAGTCTTACGTATTGAACAACATCGTCACATTATAGCGGTATTCTCGTCGTGAGCAAGCAACAATTTGCATCAGTACAACAAGCAAATGTAAGTCTTTTTTTAAAATTGAATAGAAAAAGTTCAGGTAGTAGATTTTCAGAGATACAAGTATTCCATAGAATGAGCTATTTGATTTTAACCTGAATTTAAAGGAAAAAAAAATCACTTGATATCATATAGAAGTGGAGACTAGGAATCTTTAGAGTTATTTATTTATATATATATATATATATATATATACATACAGTACGTAAAAAAATTATTTAGGCATCAATAATTTTCTTTTTATGGCGTCTTTATCTTGCATCAAAATATTTTGAATTATACATTATTCGGCAGAGAAAACCAAACTGAACCGAATCATCAATTTGGTGTCTAAAAATTATTAAATAAAAGACATTAATGGCTAATTTAAATTAGTATTTCACATACGTCTTCTGCTAGTCTTAGTTTTTTGAACGATACAGGCTTATAGCGAATAGAGTTCTCTACAAAGTAATGTGCTTGATTGCATGATAACAATTTTTCTCAATAGGATCACAATATATCTTTTCAAGGATAGTCTACAATGAAGAAAGAAAAAACAAGACTGTTTGTGTTCTATCACTTAATATGCATGGGACTGATATATATACCTTTCGTTCCTGTATTCCTTCACTGGGTACATAGAAAGTGATAGAACGAACAAAAAACTTTTTTCTTTCTTCACTATAAACTATCCTTGAAAAGATATGTTCTGATCATATTGAGAAAAAATTGTTATCGTGCAATCAAGCACGCCATTCTCTAGAGAATTTCATCCTCTACAGGTCTATATCATTCAAGAAAAACTTTGAGTTTGTTTTTACACCCTAAAAACCAAGACTAGTGGAAGTCGTATATGAAATACTAATTTGAGTTAGCAATTAATGTTTTTTATTTAATAATTTTTAGAAGTCACAAGCATGATTTAGTTCAGTTTGGCCGTCTCTATCAAATGATGTATTTTGAGCTGGGTGTTCATTTTAGGGAGCATGAAAAACCCTTAGGACGACAGGTATTTCGAAGTTTCCGAGATCCTATCAGTATTTTGTTTTCGGTTTCAATAAGCAGCGTGTAGAAAATTGTTTTCTCTATTGAAAGATATATAATTCTAAATATTTCAATGCA